CAATTCTCCTGCCTCAGCCTCCTGAGTAGCTGGGATTACAGGCATGCGCCACCATGCCCAGCTAATTTTTTGTAGTTTTAGTAAAGACCGGGTTTCACCATGTTGACAAGGATGGTCTCGATCTCTTGACCTCGTGATCCGCCCGCCTCGGCCTCCCAAAGTGCTGGGATTACAGGCGTGAGCCACCGCGCCCGGCCTCTCTGTTCGTATTTTGTTACTGTACTCCTACTTTAACCTAGCTTGTCTGCTTGCCCTTTCCTCCTCAAGATATGAGCAAATTCCCATTTCTGTTCTTCAACATACAATTTTTTAGCTTTCAGAATGCTCGCTCGTCTTTTATTTTGCTGGATTATATCCAATATCTATCTAAGACCTGACTCACAATATTTCTAAGAAGCCTTCCATTCATTCATTCACCATATACTGATGTGTGTGTGTGTGTGTGTGTATACACACTGATATATATATATATATGTATATATAATATATATATCCTTCCAAATTATTTTTATATATAAATACACATATAGGCCTTCCAAATTAGTTTAATCAAACTCTACTATGTTCCTTCGGCAATTAGGTTAGGTACCCCATTTGTTCTACTGTTGTACATACTGCATATTTTACACAGGCATTTTCAAGCTATTATACTTTATTCTGCCTCAAAATTAAACACTGTAGTAGTGACTCTTTCATCATCTATCCTACACTATTGTCCCAACAATTAATAACAAAGTACTATAGTAGTAACTTGTGCCCTCTTGATCCTCACAAAACCTTGTATGAATATTACTTCATATCTTTTATTTGTAGACATAGAAACTGAGGTTCAAAGAGGTTACATTAGTTATTCCAAATCAAACAGCTTGTAAGTGGCAGGGAAGATGGCATTTAAGACCTGGGCTCAAATAACTAGCCTCAATGTATTATGTAAGGCCCTAACGAGGGACATTGCATATTAAGTAAAGCCCTAGGAGAGGCGTTGAGATAGAGGTTCTGAAGACAAAGAGGCCTCTAAATCAACAAAGTTAACCAAAAAATACACAGAACTGGCTGGGCGAGGTGGCTCAGGCCTATAATCCCAGCACTTTGGTACCTGAGGCGGGCAGATTGCTTGAGGCTAGCAGTTCGAGACCAGCGTGGGCAACATAGCAAGGCAACATTTACAAGACAAACAAACACAAAATACACAAAAGCAACACCAGAGGCCCATTTGCATGGCGTGTTTTTATTTGTTTGGTCTAACACGGTTTCGTTTTGTCTGGAAGAAGGGATTGTGCCCTCCAAGCCTTTGTCATTTCACTCACCTCTCCCAACCTGGCCCTGTCCGGCCCCTCCCCGGAGGGCTCGGCGTATGGATGCTGGAGGCCACGGGCTGCCCCCGCAGGTGGTGACCTCGGAGGCAGAACCACGCCCTCGAGTCGGGCCTCTAACGGCGAAAGATTGACGCGGTTGGACCGCGCCATTCCCGAAGTGTTAAGGGGCGTAATCTCTGCATCGCCCTCAAAGATGAGTAGGAAAAGGGCAGTGAGGGCGAACATCTTCCCCTCTCTTTCTGCTCGGCCTCCTGGGAACCCAGCGTCTAACCCACGGCCTGATTTACTAAGGGAGTCTTGTAGCATAGGGGAGGGGGAAGTCATTGATTGTAATTACGGTAACTCGGTTGGTAACTCAAACGGTCATTTACATAAAATTTGAATGTTAATATACTTCTGGAAGTATGCAATATGTCCATGCTTCTCTAACAGGGCACCCACGCCCGCCTGCTCACCCTACTTATGCAGCAGATTTTACTTCTCTCTCGGCTTCTGCAGCCTCGCAAACGCCAGCGCTTAGGTCCTCTTCTTAAATATCGGCCCCGCCTCCCACCCGTAAGCTCCTCCCTTCGCCCGCTATCCCTCGCGAGCTTCCAAACATCTTTTCCCCGCCCCCTTTTCTATTTTTGAACAGGCATGTTCCGGGCAGCCGACTCCTTAGATTACTATGGGATCGGTAGGGTCCTGAGCGCTGGGGAAGCCGGAAAGCATATCCTGGGAAGAAGGGCTTGGACTCAGGAGAAGAATCCTACACCGAGACCTTCTGGGGAATTTTTTTTTATATTATTTTATTATTGTTTTGGTCTTGGTTGTACTGAAGGAGGAAGAGGAGATCGTGTCGCCCGGTCGAACTTGTGGCAGCCTGAAGGCCCCCTCAGGCGGCGCCGCGGGCAGCCCCGCAGCCGGGGCCTGGTGCAGCCGCCGCGGCCGCTGTCAGGGAAGCGCAGGCGGCCAATGGAACCCGGGAGCGGCCGCTGCTGCTGAGGCGGCGGTGTCGGCAGTCCGACCCCGACTGCCCGCACCCCCTCCGCGGGGGTCCCCCAGAGGTAAGCTACTTCTCCCCCATGAGTCACCTTTGCCCTGTTGCGTGGGGGGGGTCCCTCTGCCACTCTGTCCCGCACAGTCTTCCCCACCTGAGTTCGACTACGAAACAGCCCTCTTGGTGTCAGCTGCACTCCGGGTTCCTTCTCCACCCTTTCCTCTCAGGCCTGGGGTCCTCCTCTGCTTTTTGGCTTCCTCTTCTATTTAGCTCCTCCCTCTGCCTCGGGGATTCCCCCCTCCCTCACTCTTATCCCTGTTGCCTACGTCTCGAATTATTCTTTTTTAAGTCATGAACGCTTTCCACATCAGACGATTTCCATAATGCCCATCCTTGTCCTTCCTCGTCGTCTCTGCCCCTGCTCCAAACCTCTTCCATGGACTCCACCTTTATCTCTTTTCCTAGTTTGCCCTTTTCCTCCGAGGTCCCTGTGCAACCCCAGCACTGGGTTCCCATTTCCCTGAGCTAAAGATTGTATCCCTGTCTTCCTGTGCTGCTTCTGATTCCATTACCTCACCGTCACCCACCCACCCAGCCAGCTCCTGGCTTCCAAGAATTGCCTGTTCCCTTCTTAAGGGATCTCGGGCCCTTGTCATCAGTCCCAAAGTACCATTTACATTCTTAGCTTCAAACCTAGTCCTCACCTTTCTCTGGTATGCATTATGATCCCTATATAACTTTCTTCATCTTCTCTTTCTCCCTCCTCAGTCCCCCAACCTTCTGGAGGTATCTGTCTGTAGGGGAGAGATTTGAGTGCCCTTCCCATTCAGGATTTCCAACTCTGACATCTCCCTCGAGTTTCAAGGATTTTGCTGATCCTTGTGTACTTGATTCTCTTTTCCCTGTGGTCTTCATGCGTTCTCTTATCACACTCTTTCTCTCCACATAACACTTCATTTCAGGATCAACTAAACCTCGAACTGAGAAGAAAAATGTGTTGGGAGCAGGGGGTGCCTCAGCTGCCTCAGGCCGTTCAGGACAGAAGGGTGTTGCTGAAGGCTGGAGCAAGTTTTGAAGAAGTCCCTATCAGATTACACTTGGTTGACTAACTCAGGAGCAGCCACTAGGAGGGATGAACAAGCCTGCCTGGAAACTGAATGAGATTATGAGAAACCTTGTTGCAGATTATTTAATTTTAGGCTTTTGTTAAAGGAATCACAGAATAGAGTGCCTTCCCACCCCTGTCCAGATCCATGAGGAATCAGTTTACTGTCTGTGGTTTCCTAGAATAGTTTTGGTTGGTTCCATAAGATCTCAGGCCTGGAGAGGGGTAAGAGTGTAGCTGGAAAAAGGAACATGAGACAATGGAAAGAGCTTATACATTCAGAATCAGGACTCCTGCTTTCAGCATGTGACTTCCTCACTTGACCCCTACAGTGATCCTTTTGGAAAATGGCCCGTTCTCTATAGGCATCAGTGCAGTAATAAATTGGTAGCAGGATGTGGGCTGAGGGGAAAAAATCAGAATTGGTTTATTTGTTTACAAAACATTTTGGGTTCCGCGGGCAAAAGGTATTTATTAGTAGTGGTTTAGTCATCCTCAGAATTTTCCTTCAACTTGGTCTTTCTGTTGGATGTTTCTAGTCTACAACCAGAGGTGTAGTCATTTTGAAAGACAGGCTCCAGGCCCGCTTCCTTCATTGGCTTTGCTTTTCCCCCCAGTGTGTTAAGTGGCTGATTTTCTTTGCTGTTCCTCATGTACTTGATCCATAACTCCAGATTCTATAGGTGGAAAGTATGTTTGTGGGAAAGTGCTTTGAGGAAGCTGGCTGGAAAAGAGAACTTGGAGTGAACTAGGACTTAGGCAGCTAGTTGCTGCCATGTCTCTTTCGGCCTGTGATAGCGAAAGGGCACATGAGATTCCATTCATTTTCTGATTCTAGGCCTGTTTGGGAGTAGTTATGTCATCTTATCCTACTTCTCCCTTCTCTTCTTGTCGTTAGCCACGGTGCAGTCTCCTCATAATTCCCCTTATTAGAAGAAGCTTTCTGGCTGGGTGCAGTGGCTCATGCTGAGGCGGGCAGATCACGAGGTCAGGAGATCGAGACCATTCTGACTAACATGGTGAAACCCCGTCTCTACTAAAAATACAAAAAAATTAGCTTGGCGTGTGGCGCATGCCTGTAATCCCAGCTACTCAGGAGACTGAGGCAGGAGAAATGCTTGAACCAGGGAGTCGGAGGTTGTGGTGAGCTGAGATTGCACCACTGCACTCCCCTGGCCACAGAGTGAGACTCCATCTCAAAAAAAAAAAAAAAAAAAAAAGAAGCTGCTTTCCTCCTTGGAAGCATCCCCAACCAGAAATCATATTTCCTCTCATTTCCCTGCTTTCTTCCTAGAGTTGGGTCCACACTCCATGAGAATAAGTTTGCTGAACACCATCCAAGGCAGCACATTGAGATTCTTTGATGTGGGAAAGAGGTTCGGGAGGAACCCTTCAATAATTGGCATGGGACAAGAGGGGACCCAGTTCAAGTGTATTTGGGACTCGCAGTAGGGAGGAACAATTCAGAGAGAGGTGAGTGCACAGGCTGCTCTCTTTGCCATCTGTCTGTTTCAGTAGCGGCTCCCAGAGCTAGCCTGGGCTGTCTGGCTGGAATCTGCTTATACCAGCTCCACTGCTTGACATAGGGAGTTCTCAGCCTGATTCAATATTGACTTTACTACCATGAGACCACTGCCCTCCCTACTCTCCTGCTAGTAGCTTGAGAATGCCCTCTCCCCTAATGCCCCCACCTTCTGGGGCCCTTTGTCAGCATTTACCTGGATCCTGCTAGGGCTGGAGCTGGCTTGACTGCTTGGCCCTGAGTTTCTTTAAGGAAAAAGGAGTACTCAATCTCTACCTTTACCATTGAGGACAAAGGGGAGAGATAAGTTGAGACATCCTGAAAGAAAGGTTTGAATTAGACCTTAAGACATGAGGAGGAACTTCTCAACAGCAGAACAGACAGCCAAAGATGATATGGAGTCTCTTGAGGAGCAGCCTCTCTTTAAAAATACATGCCTGTAACCCCAACACTTCAGGAGGCTGAGGTAGGTGGATCACTTGAGTTCAGGAGTTCGAGACCAGCCTGGCCAACATGGTGAAACCCTGTTTCTACTAAAAATACAAAAATTAGCTGGATGTGGTGGCAGGTGCCTGTAATCCCAGCTACTTGGGAGACTGAGGCAGACAATTGCTTGAACCCGGGAGGCGGAAGTTGCAGTGAGCCGAGATGGCACCACTGCACTCCAGCCTGAGTGACAAAGCCAGACTCTGTCTCAAAAAAATTTTTTTTTGCAGGAATGTATTCATTTGGTAACAAATCCAATGGTACTGAAAGAGTTTATGAAGAAAACCAACAGTCCTATTTCCATTCTTCCCTACACCTATTCTCTGAGAGTTAACCTCTTTAATTATCTCAGTGTTTACTTCTGAAGGTTATCACCATAGCTTTAGATAAAATGCCTGTTCCTCTATTAATTTACTTACTGTTATAAATGAGGATTTATCTTTAGAAGATATACCTCTCAGGCTGGGGTGGTGGCTCACACCTGTAATCCCAACGTTTTGGGAGGCCAAGGCAGGCGGATCACGAGGTCAGGAGATCGAGACCATCCTGGCTAACACAGCGAAACCCCATCTCTACTAAAAAACAAAAAATTAGCCAGGTGTGGTGGCATGTGCCTGTAGTCTCAGCTGCCCGGGAGGCTGAGGCAGGAGGATTGCTTGAACTCAGGAGGTGGAGGTTGCAGTGAGCCAAGATTGTGCCATTGCACTCCAGCCGGGGTGGCAGAGTCAGACTCTGTCTCAAAAAAAAAAAAGATATACCTCTCATTTATATAATTATGTCATTATTTTTGTTTTTTTCTACTGGACATCTGTGTAACTTTAAATAATATTTAATATATTTGAACCTCCCTTTCTTTTCCATTAACTTTTGACAGTCTCTCTTAATTCACCTTGTAAGATGAATGTCAGATACTGGTTTCCTTACCCGTTTTTCCATCTCTTGTGGATCCATCTCAAAGGATCATGAAATGTATGAAAAAAGGATAGAGGAGACTAAGCGTGGTGGCTCCTGCCTTGTAATCTCAGCACTTTGGAAGACCCAGATGGCAAGATAGCTTGAGGCCAGGAAGCTGCTTTCCTCCTTGGAAGCATTTCCAACCAGAAATCACATTTCTCCTCGTTTCCCTGCTTACTTCTTAGAGTAACATTGTTAGACCCCGTTTCTTTAAAAAAAAAAAAAAAAAATTCTTTTTTTTTTTTTTAGATGGAGTCTTGCTCTGTGGCCAGCTGGAACACAGTGGGGCGACCTTGGCTCACTGCAACCTCCGCCTCCTGGGTTCAAGTGATTCTCATGCCTCAGCCTCCTGAGTACCTGGGATTACAGACACATACCACCACACCCAGCTAGTTTTTTTTTTGTATTTTTAGTAAAGATGGGGCTTCTCCATGTTGGCCAGGATGATCTCAATCTCCTGACCTTGTGATCTTCCCACCTTGACCTCTCAAAAGTGCTGGGATTACAGGTGTGAGCCGCTGCGCTCAGCCCAAAAATTTTTTTTTAATTGACAGGGAATGATGGCACACATCTGTAGTCCCAGTTCCTCTGTAGGCTGAGGTGGTGGAAGGGTCACTTAAGACCAGGTGTTTGAGGCTATTGAGAGCCATGATTATACTACTGCACTCTAATGTGGGCAACAGAGTAAGAGCTTGTCTCAAAAAAGAAAAGAAAAAGGCAAGTGGTAGGGGAAATAAAGGATTTTTTTTTTTTTTTTTTTTTTTTGAGACACAGTTTTGCTCTTGTTGCCCAAAGGCTGGGGTGCAATGGCGCAACCTCCACCTCCCAGGTTCAAGCGATTCTCCTGCCTCAACCTCCTGAGTAGCTGGGATTACAGGCATGTGCTATCATGCCCGGCGAATTTTGTATTTTTAGTAGAGACAAGGTTTCTCCATGTTGGTCAGGCTGGTCTTGAACTCCTGACCTCTGGCGATCTGCCTGCCTTGACCTCCCAAAGTGT